AACAGGCTCCAGTCTTTTCTCTCACAGCCTCTTCTATATGAAAACATTATTACATATAGAATTAGAGACCTAATTAACCCCTTAACCTAATGGCAGAAAATCCTTTCTTTTTGAGGTAACCCTTAAGCTATCCCTCAGTAGACAATTTGAAAGGTTCCACATTAGAGATCAGAATTTAAGGAACAAGAACTGAGTCTGACTAGTGCTTCTCCAGTTTATGGCTTTTAGATCATTACGAGTAAAATTAGAAAAAAAGAAAAATGAATCATTCTGTTTAACATGTTACTTTCTTTTTTATGATTCATAGGTATATTTTATTTACTTATGTGCAATATCAGTTAGACATTTTTATTAGTACATATTTGCCATAATGATCACATTCATCATAGACAATTTCTACCTGTAATAATATATCTTTTTTTTTAATTTTAAAGAGTAAAAGAAGGATAACATAGTAACAGGGGGGCTTACTGAATTACAGAGAAGTGGTAGGAAATTATCAATGGTTGTTGTTTTACGTATTGTTATCTACAAGACAGATTCTCAGGAACATAAATAGACAAATAATAGTGAGCTGCACTATTATAGTCTATTTCATTGACTACTCTCAATGGCTGTTGTAGGAAACACACAGTAATAGACATACATCCATTTACGAAATAGCATAGGAACAATACAAACATTACAGAGTTATGGACAGAGTAGTAGGAAAGTATCAATGGCTGCTGTAATACATGGTGGTATCTTCAAAGTGGTTTCTCAGGAAGACAGAGATAAGAAAGATCTAACAAGTCACATGTTACTTTCTTAAAACACCAGAGCTTATGCAATAACCATCAATAATAGAAAGGAAACGATCCATTAAAAAACTGCAAATTGCATCTCATATTAACTGGCTTTCTGTTCTTCCGTTTTATTCACCATATATTTTCAGTAAAAACAAAAAGCACAATGATTCCCATCTTTTAGCCTTTGTTTACATCAATCCTCAGCAAATTTTATCACTCATGAAGAGTGTCACCATCAACAGTTAACTCCTAAGTATGAACCATTACATACATGTACTGAAATACCCAACTGGACTTCATAAATACGTTGGTTTATCACATTAATCCAAAATTTATAAAAACATTCAAGGACCTAGAAATGCTAGTGACTCTGACATGATTATTACACACTGGATATGTAGATCAATTTTCAAAGTATAACTCATAAATGTGTAGAGTCAAAATAACATTTAATTAGAAAAATGAAAATAAGTAATTCTAGCTGTGTGGGTCCTATGATTTGTTGAATACTCCTTGAGGAACTGAATTTTCCCACTTTGCTTGTGCCTGCAGGTGCACACTGAAGTCAAATGAAAATATGACTCACAGGAAGGATTAGCCATACTCATACTTTATTTCTCACAGCCAAATGCAAAGTAACTATAAATTAACCTAATCTTTTCTTCTCATTTTCCACAATTCCTCATGTTTACATGAACACTGCTTCAGCTGAATTAAAAGTTTTCACAGAATAAGTCCAGAAGAAGAAAAAATGTTTAGTTATTCAAAAATAGTAATATTTAAATATCGATTCAGGTGCTAAGAGTCTTTACCATCTTTAAAACCTAGAAATAGCTGGGCGTGGTGGTGCACGCCTGTAATCCCAGCACTCGGGAGGCTGAGGCAGGAGGATCATTCTTGCCAGTTCAAGACCAGCCTGGGCTACAAAGTGAGCTCCAGGCCAGCCTGAACTGCATAGCAAGACCCTGTCTCAAAAAAAAAAAAAAAAAAAAAAAAAAAAAACCCTAGAAATAATTTCTGTATCTAAAGTCCTAACATGTGGCAGAGGAAGAAAGAGAGAGAGAGAAAACACAGTGGATTAAATACCTTAAGTGTCAAGGAACTATTAATATAACTAAATCCTAAATCCTTATCAGTTCCTTAAAGAATTTAAAAAATGGAAATACACTCACAGCTTCAAATAGGTGATTTAAAAAACATACAATGGACCAGAAACAAAATTTTACATGTGCATAAAACATTTCCCTCATTTATCTACAAAAATATTTAGCAAACACTAACTATATGTGGATTACGTTGTAAGGACAAGTCATATTGCAGTAAACAAAATTTGACAAAAAATCCCACCTTTTACCCTCTAAAATTTAGAAAACTTAGAATGCAGTGGAAATTAAATAGCATGTACAATTGCCAACATGCAAATACAGTATAATAAAATCTTTCATCACTTAAAGTTACTAATTACTAGCCAGAAATAAAACATCTCAATTTTTTTCTACTAAAGTGAA